TCACCTCACTGTAGTGCCTGTCCTTGAAAGTGAAATGAGTTTATTGCAGACAACAAAAAGATGTTTTTTTTTTCTTAATCCTTTCAACTTATCTGTATGTTTTGACTGTGGAGTTCAGTCCATTGATATTTAAAGTTATTAATGAAAGGTGTGTATTGAATCCTGTCATTTTTATTTCTGTTCACATTCTTGATACTGCTGTGCAATTCCACAGTTATACCTTCATTGAATTTCTTTACATCACTTCTTGTGTTCCTTTCTTCAGCTCTTTGTATTGCTTCAGGAACTCTCTGAAAGGCTGGTTTGTGCACATGAATTCTTTCAGCCTATTTATATCATGGAAGATTTTCCTTTCCCTTCAACTATAATAGACATTTTGGATGGGTAAAGTATTCTGGGTTGGCATCTGTGGTAATTTAGAACTGGCAATACTTTGGTCCAGGCTCTTCTGGCTTTCATAGTTTGCACTGAAAAGTCAGCTGTAATCCTGATGGGTTTTCCTTTATATGTGACTTGTTGTTTTTCTTTTGCAGCTTTCAGTATTGTCTCTTTGTTTTGCACATTTTGTGTTTTTACTACGATGCGCTGTGGAGAGTTTCTTTTCTGGTCCTGTCTATTTGGTGTTCTATATGATTCTTTTATTTGTATGGGCATGTCTTTTTTTAATTGTGAGAAATTTTCTTCTACAATCCTGTTGAAAATCTGTGTCATAGTATTATCTTTAGATTCTTCTCCTTCCTGTATACCTATGATTTGTAATTTTGGTTTTTTAATGGAGTCACACAATTATTCCATATTTCATTCTTGTGTTTTCTTAAATTTTTCATATTCTTTGCTTGAGTGGTCTAATTCGTCCAATTTATCTTCCATTCTTGATATTCTGTTTTCCATTTCATTCATCTTATTGGTGAGGCTTTCTCCTGTCATTTCTAATTGGCTTACTGACTGTTTCACTTTCTTCTTCATTTCAGCCTGAGTATTCTTTTATGTTTCTATCTCTTTTGAATTCATTCAGAAGTTTATCCCTATCTTCCTTCAGTTCTTTGATTTCTTTGTGTGTTCTTTAAATTCACTGAATTCTTTTATCATGTTTATAACTGTTCTTTTGAGTTTCATGTCCTGTGTTATCTCTAGGGAGTTCTCATTGTACTCCTCTAGAAGACTACTGGTGCTTGGGGGTGATATATCGTTTTGGTTTTTCATGTTATTTTTTCCTCTGTGACTTTAACATGTGAATTTCCTTCCTAGTTTCTGATTCTTGCATGAGACTCAAGCCTTCAAGTTTAGATCTGCTTCTTTATGTAAACTTTATGTACCTTTGTGTTTTACTTGTTTGGCATGAAAAGCTGGTTGGTCTAGGCTTCAGGTTCTCTCTTTTGATTTTATATTTGAGTGGCCCAATTGCTTTTGTCTTCAGGATTTCCCACAGAGGCCCGAGATGAGGATCAGATGCTCTCAGGCTTTCTCCTAAAAGTCTGGGTCCCTCCAGGAAAGATGCTGACCTCAAGAATTTGGGGGGCTGGGCTAGCCTGGGAGAAGGACCCAGGATAGATACTGGTCTCAGGAAGCTGGTGGCCAGCCACCCATACAAGTAAAGGGAGGTGAGGGCAGTACCAGGCCCAGAGGTTTCCTGGGGGCCACAAGGAGGACCTGGGTTGGTCTTGATGCAAAGGATCAGGAAGCTGTGGTGGCTCTGGGCCAAGAGGTTAGCCCTGGTGTCTGGGGTGCCATGACAAGAAATGGACCTGTACCCAGGCTAGGAGGAGAGGCATGGCAGGAGAGCTGGGAGGGTGAAAGAGGCTGGGGGAGTCAAGGTGCGTTTGGTGCACTGGACTTACCCTGGGAAGGTTCTTGGACCAGGACACTGGAGGCTGTACACCCAGGGAAGTAAAGGGAGGTGAAGGTAGGACCAGGCTCAGAGGGTTCCTGGGTTGATCCAGGTGCAAAGATCAGGAAGCAGTGGTGACTCTGGGCTGAGAGATTAGTCCCAATGATTGGGGTGCCAAGACAAGAAATGGGCCTGTACCCAGGCTAGGAGGAGAGATGTGGTGGGGGAGCTGGGAGTGCGAAAGAGGCTGGGGAAGTCAAGGTATGGTAGGCTCACTGGACTTATCCAGGAAGGTGTTGGGACCAGGACACTGGAGGCTGTGCAGCCCAGGGAAATAAAGGGAGGTGACCCCCTTTCACTTTTATACTTAAATTTAGATCCTGCATATGAGTGAAAATGTGATATTCATTTCTGAGTCTGACCCATTGAACTCACCATGATAATCTCTAGTTGTATCCACTTTCCTGAAAATGTTATTTTTTCTTAATGGCTGAATAAAACTTCATTTTGTATGTGCACCACATTTTCTTTACTTATCCATCCATCTGTTGCTGGGCATCTAGGACTGATTCATAACATGGCTGTTGATGTGCTCTGTGGGATCCCTTCTGTCTTTTTTTTTTCCTGTACCTGCCTCTCATTGCCCCATCAAAATTTCTCACCTCCTCTCTTGCTTTACTTCATCTGATGGTACTTAATGCTCTTTAAAATGCTTTGACTATTTGTGTTGCTCAGTGTGTATGTCTCAAAGCTATTTCTCATTACTAGAATTTTGCTAGAATACAAGTTTTTCTGTAGCAAGAATTGTCTAACTTGATTTATCTGCTCATTCCCAGAATAAATGAAGCAATGAGTTAAGGTTATAGGGAAAATTTTAATTGCATTTTGCTTGACCTCATAGCTAAACTAAGCAATCAGTTGGTTTATGCTTAGGTCATCTTTATTTTATATACAACCACTTATATACGTACCCATCCCTACTCAAAACCTTTTTGAGTTAATAAAATTTTATCATATTTTATACATAGTATATAGTATTTTTACATGTATAGATAGACATGTACATTTAATGTTTTGGACAGGTTATTAGGATACCACATGGGAGATACTTTGACGATTCTTTAGACAGGTGTGAAGAATATTTGAGCCCAAGGTCATGTAACAAGCCCCAGCGTTCTGCGAGGAACTTACTAGTCCATTCAGCACCCTCAACAGCGCGAAAGCATTGTCCAAGCCCTGTGCTAAATAGAGCGTCTCTCAGGGAAAGGCAAGTACAGTTTCTGTTTGTTTCCTTATCTTCTGAATATTCAGCATTAGAAACTGAAGGTATCAGTTATGTATGTGAAGTGAGTATTTATAAAATTAAAATTTGATTTTGAGGCTTTAACTTTTTTTTGGAATATATTATCTATCACGAAGACATTCCTTCTTGCACAGTTTACTAGAAGTAAGTTATTTAGCAAGATCTGGGTCTCTTGATCCATAAATAATGCAATTCTTAAAGGTGAAAATCTGAATAATAGATTGCTTTTAGTAAATTCATAGTGATTTAATATTATTGATATGTCTTAAATATGAAAACAGTTTAAGCCTCAAA